GGGTACATTTTCAGAATGAGCCTATCTTGAAGGATCCTACAATTCACAGGTGTGTGTGTTTTGGGTCTACAATAATAATGTCTGCTTCCCTCAATGTTATGAATTTATGTAAAAATAAATAAATAAATAAACATTTTTATTATGTTCACCTGTTCCTTGTTTAGTTTCCTGTTGTCCCAGTGTATGTAATGCCCTTACTATTGCTCATTTCCCATACTAGCTAGTTTAGTTTTGTTAGTCTGCTCAAATAAACACAGCTGCTGCTAGATCCTCACATTACTTTCCCTACCACTACACACTACTCTTACTACTAACCTTTTTTTTTTTTTGCATAAAATTAATTTACATTTTGAAATTTTTGTGGCACATTTGTAGCATAGCTACTGCACCAACACAATCTCACGGCAATTCGTAACCTTTTTATTTAGTGGCTAATTCGTATGAATTCGTACGATCTAATTCGTACAATTTAGTAAGATTTGCTTATCCCCCAATCACGGCCAACCGTTAGGGGTGGGGTTAGGTGCCACGCCTCCTTTTTAAAATCGTACCATTTCGTACGACTGAACTCATACGAATTCGTACGAATTAGCCACTAAACTGGCAAAATGTAAAATACTTATGTTTTCTCGTCAGATCAGGCTGACTGCACATAGCCTAACTAGATTTGTATTCCCAAAGTCTGATAGCCACAATGCAATCTAAACATTGGAGAGGAGAGCGCTAATTGAACTTGCTGCATTATATACAGTGGAAGTCAGAATTATTAGCCCCCTTTGAATTTTCCTTTCTTTTTTTAAATATTTCCCAAAGGATGTTTAACAGGGCAAGGAAATTTTCACAGCATGTCTGGTAATATTTTTTCTTCTGGAGAAAGTCTTATTTGTTTTATTTCGGCTAGAATAAAAGCAGTTTTTAATTTATTAAGAACCATTTTAAGGTCAAAATTATTTGCCCCTTTAAGCTGTATTTTTTTCGACAGTCTACAGAACAAATTATCGTTAAACAATAACTTGCCTAATTAATTACCCTAACCTGCCTAGTTACCCCTAGTTAAGCCTTTAAATGTCACTTTAAGCTGTAAAGAAGTGTCCTGAAAAACATCTAGTCAAATATTATTTACTGTCATCATGGCAAAGATAAAATAAATCAGTTATTAGAAATGATTTATTAAAACTATTATGTTTAGAAATGTTTTGAACAAAATCTGCTCTCCTTTAAACAGAAATTGGGGAAACAGTAAACAGGGGGGCTAATAATTCTTCAACTGTATATATTTTTTCCAATCTTCTGATGTATTTCCTGTAACGTTTTGTAATGTATCTTCACTCGATTTGTATAATATTCAACTTCCTGTTAACCCCAGGAGTTTCCCCATCATGGCCACAAATTAAACGGCAGCACAAGATGGCAGCCGTCCTTTAATAACAAAACATGTCTCGAGCTGAAGCTGGCACAGGCCCAAACTGCATTTAGAGCAAGGCACGGTGTCGCTGATTGCATTTTTCCTAATTAAGCCTCGTCTGACCTTGGCAGAGGCAAATCATTAGATTCTCATTTTAATAATCACACCGCAGCGGTTATATTCCACTGGGTCTCTGACGGCACTGGAGCAGTCTTTAAGCTCTTCTTAATTTTCTTGTTTACAAGAAGGACTCGACGTTATAGCAAGCGTAAGTAATTGTGTTGGTGGATATGATGACATAAATGACTCTCTAATTTAGGCCCACAGTGTATGTTAGCAGAACAGAAACGCTTTGACTGTAATGTTTTGGTTAGCATTTGTTTTTCAGATGTATGTTGTTCGGTTTCTGCAGAGGATGGCGATTGACGATAGCGTAATCATGGAATTACCTGATCATTATTAATTAGGTAATAACTTGATGATCTTTAGTTGTGCTAATGAGTGGTTGCCTAGCAGCCAACCTTACTCATGCAAGCCACTATTCAAGGCAAGGATCTGTTTTAACCGTAATTGAAAAGCAAATCTGAAACATTGCGGAAATTCACACAGAAGAGGAGAGTTGTTTAATTATAGAATCAAGACCTGCGTGGAGCTAAAACCGGAGTGTTTGAAAGTAATACATGTGTCAATTTGCATAATCGTTCAGAATATTTACGACTGATTTATTCTGAACATACTGTATGTAAAAAGAGTTCTTCTGAGGTTTTTATATAGCAGATATTAAGGCGAAGACAAAATGTCTAGCCCTCAAGTGATATTTAAATTCTTTTTCAAACATTTCCCAAGTGCTTTTCAACAGATTTTTCCAGCGCTTTTTAAACCATTCTAGGTTAATTAAGTAATTTACTTTAGATTTCCCATGAAGCCATAATATTTTACAATGTATTTTCCAAGATATTTACCTTAAATTTGACATCTTTTACAAGATGTGTGCCTTCGGTGTCTCCAGAATGTGTCTGTAAAGTTTCAGCTCTAAATACCCATCAGATAATTAATTGTAGCCTCCAGAATCTGCCCATTTTGGTGTCTGAGTATAGTGTGGCTGTTTTTGTAGCCTGTCGCTTTAAGGCTGATTATACTTCTGTGTCAAGCACACACGTATGCTACGGTGCAGCCTACGCGTTGACGCATAGCCCTACGCCGTGGTCATTGGCGTCGCTGACGTGCACCTCTCAAAAAATTTAACTACACGATGCGTAGCGCAAGCTCTGTGATTGGTTGGCGTGGTATCGCTGACAAGTCTGGGCGGGACAGAGAGCTGCACGAGCAGTGCAAACTCGATGGAGCGATTGTTTACAAGTGTGAAGTCTATACCTGTCAACATTGGGATGTGAAAATAAGGGATATGCCCATCATAATAAGGGACTCACGTTTTAAAAAACTCACGTTTTAGAGCATGGGGCGACCCCTGGTGGTTCAGCGGTATAGGGAGGCTCGGCTGTTTAGAGAGACACTGAAAATAAGGGAGAAACACGGGAAAATACCTTTACGGGATGATAGCGGGATAGAACAGTAAAAATACAGGAGAATCCCGGGAAAAACAGGAGGCTTGACAGGTATGGTAGAGTCCTGTGAAGGAGCTCCGGATGGAAAGTTTTGTTTTGTGTTTACCTCATAGTTAAATTTGTAGCATGTCCGCCGGTTCCTGCCTCAAAATGAGCGACTTGTTGAAATTTGAGCCACTTGTACATTCAGGAAGTGTTCAGGAAAAACAAAACACCAGCGAAGAAACTCGACACAGAGGAACATAAACACCTCACTGCCAACTATAGCGTTTCGGAAGTGTTAATGCAGACCAACAGAAACAGCGCGCAGAAGTATAAATGCAGAGCTACGCGCGTTGCATGCACGGTGGGTTACGCTGGTCACTTGACACAGAAGTATAAACCAGGCTTTAAATGTAAATGAGATGCTTCTTCCTGCCTACTGTTCCCACGTGGGTGTCTGCTTCTCATCATGCATTACCTCAGATAAACAGCAGTCAGTGATAGTCAGACATGAATGAAGCTGAAATAAAGCTCATCAAAAATAGCAAGTAAGTTTATTTCATGCATTTGTGGTGGAGTCTATTCAAGCCTTTCTGAAATGATGAGTCTCACACAAATGCCATTTGCAGTACACACACAAATGTTAGTGTTTACTGACACCTTGCGGCCGTGGTGATTATAGCGGTTAAGAATTAAATAGCAATTTTACTTTATTATATTACAAACGTTCTTTTTTTAAAACGTTTAAAACTTATAAAAATCACAGAGAGTTGGCACAAATATTTGAATCCCAGTTTATTGGCAAAAAAATGTTCTGTGACCGTGTGTAAACATGCTATTGTAGAAACATGGTGCCTGTCAATCAATTCAGTGAGCAGGGAAAATTGCATTTCTACAGCACGTTGCAATAGGCCTCAAAATCCCTAGGATTTGGGTCCTATTTTATGGTCAGGAATTTTTTTTAAAAGACTTGTTGTGTTTATATCACTCCAATATGACTGTGGACAGACTATATCTGCACACAGTCCTTTCCAAACAGCCTACAAACGTTGATTTTCATCATTAAAGTGCAATTTGAAGGCTTACCTACAGGTTAACTATGTAAGTTAATTAGTCAAGATGCTAGACGTTTTGATTTCTGTAACTAGAATTTTACAGGGGCTAATAATATTGACTGTTTTGTACATTATTTTTTATATATTATTATACCACCCAAAAAGTGCACCTATGGTGAAAAATCTACTTTTCAAGCTGTTTGGACACACATATGTGTTGGTATAGTGTATAGACCGTCATATTGGGGTGATATAGACACACCCAGTCCTTTTTTTTCAATTTAACAATATAAAACGGTGGACCAATTGGAGCGGTTTTCAGGCCGACCGCAACTTGATGTAGGAGTGCGGTCCCCCTGCCCAGCGAATTGATTGACAGCTGCGTATTAACATGTCCCGGTAGTCACGTGTATAATCATATCAACAAGACGGGACGTGCGCAAAATAAAAGGTCTGTTCAGTTTGCTAGGATCATTAATCATCATCAAATGTGATCAAGAGTGAGTTTCACAAGTTTGAAATGTTTCAAAACAGTACACGTGTGTAATGAATTACAGCGATTTAAAGGTTTTAGCTGGTCATCTCCCAGCCTGACCAGCTAAGACCAGGTTGGAAATGGCTGGAAACCAGCCTGGAAGTGGCCAAAACCCCTCTAAAACCAGCCTGGTCGACCAGCTAAAACCAGCCTAGGCTGGTTTAAGCTGTTTTTTTCAGTATGGATATTGTACTATTTATCCTGCCCTTTCTCTAAAGCTGCTTTGAAGCCACTATTAGACACACGTGCTACAGAAATAAAGATGACTTGACATTTTTCTTCTCATCTGCTGTTCAAAAACGGTAAAAGATATTGGTAAAAATCAGCCTGCTGTTTTTGTGTAACGCAGAACATGTCACAATGCTAACTTTTAAGCAGTACTGCCATCTTGTGGGGTTTCACTGCATAATTTTAAATATAACCCAGCAAATATTACTTTCTCCTGATAGATAGAGTAAGAGGAAAATAGTACAGAAGAGGGCAGTAATGATACAAACAGGATGCCAGCTGCCGTTAAAACCTTAAGAAGAAGATGAAAAAGGACACTAGTTTACTTCCGCCGATCGTACTAAATGTGTAAATGCTTCATATCTAAGACCATAGAATACCTTAAAGGGACTTTGTTCATATAGTAAAGCGTGTTTATGTTCGCGTCGAGTACATAACCATGACGTGTAAGCGTTCGAAAACGACGTTTCAAAGACGGGAGCGCAGTAGCAAGTTCCACTGCTGTGTCCCGCAATGTACAGCATCTTCCAAGTTCAACTCAGTCCTCAGTTTCCACACGTTTCCCAAAGACAAAGATGCGCAGGAGAGGTGGGTGGTTAATATTCGACGGGACAATTTTAAAGTTACCCCAAAGAAACGGGTGTGTAGCCGACATTTCAAATGCAGCGACCTGATCGAGCCTTTAACTTCAGTTGGACACAGGCGTTTGGAGAAAGGAGCCATCCCGGTGCTTTTTCACTGGAACAACTTCACCGCCCCGGCCGAACAGCCTGGAGTTTTGGAAAAGATAAAAACAGACCGACTGCATAGTGATGATGATGATGATGATGACCCTTCTATGGATGCGATTGCTCACACTTCACACCTTGATTCCATCCCCACCTCTGCAGCTCGAGACCACACTGAGGATCTACTTGTGGAAATTGCTTGTCTCCGAAAACAGATTGAGGAGATTTCCCTGAGTAGCAGGTTTTGTTTGGAGAGGTTCGCCGCATCCGATGATGACATTAGGTTTTACACCAGGTAGGCTGACGATGTCAACAGTACGGTTTTGACATACTTTCTCCATCATATAACAATAAAAAATAGACAATTGTTTAAGTCTAAACACAATATATCCCTTAGAGGGAAATATTATTGGAATTAAAAAAAATATTGATAGTATTGACCAAGTAGCTTTCCAATTAATCTTTAAATTTTGCCTTTTTAAAATAAGGTTAAAGGAGTGCACTTTAAAATACGTCACAAAATGAATCCTTGTAAATTACTTTATATAAATTCATGAATATTAATAATGCTTGCACATTTTGTAATATAACTTACATGAGGATTAGCTATCTTTTATATAATTGTGATGTGTCATAAATTTTGGAATGATGCTAGAGACGTGCTATTTGGGCAAAGAAATGTTAATTACAAGCTCTCTTTAAAACATGTCATTTGCACTTTTTCACACACAAAAAGAACGTTCGAGTATGTTGTGAACTTCTACATCTTACAAGGTAAATATTTTATTCATGAACAGAAATTTGCGAAATTGGCACCAAAATGTAATATCTTTTTATTAGAAATGGAAACTTTGAAAAAGTCTCTAATGCAAATTAAAAACAAAATATTTGATTTAATGTTAAATTTCATGATTTTTCTCTGGTACTGATCCCCCGCTGTAGTCTGATTGTATACTAAGTTATTATTTTTGTTTCTATGTATATAAGTATTTTTCAATACTTTTTTTTTTCTCTCCCCCCCCAACTGTTTTATTTTTGCTTTATTATCATTTCTGGATATGTTTTTGCAATTCTTGTAATGTTCCTAGATATAATGATATAATATCCGCGACACCTCCCTCCCTCCCTCAGCACCCATGCGTCCTCAGTTATATCCGCTTATAGGGCGGCAGAAAAGAGGACCGCGACACCTCACTTGTGACATAACCGGTCACTTTCGTTTTCACATTGGGATTGAGGGCAGCGTGATCGTCCTCAGCCTAGAGCGGCAGTTCAGCTTGCTCCGGCCCTGACCATAAGCTTTTATTTCAGTATGTTGATGTACTTCCAACTGGAACTAAATATAGTGTGGGATCGGGGCTTTCTTTTTGCACATTATTCCCTCGTAGCAAAACTAACAGTAAGAGAGGCGTGGTTAAGAATAATTTAGCTGAAGCAATCAAACTGAAGTCAACAGGGCAGGGCTGCCACTCCAAATGTGAAAGCAAACAGTCAGACTTCGATTGAGGATTAACAAAACAAACCTTTTGGATTAACTTGTATGGATTAATTGTTCACCATAACAATGTGCGCTAGCAAATTACGGTAAATTTTGATTTCACACAACTTTCTCAAGACTGTCGATATTAATATGTTCCACAGGTTTGCGACTCATGCCCACCTAATGGCCTTTTGGAGGTTGGTTGAGCCAGCAGCTGGCAAGGTTGTGCAAATGAGCAGAGCACGGGCTGCCGCCAACATAGATGAGCTCCCTCACACTGCCGGTGCAACGGTAAATGTATTAATCTGCATTTAAATCAGTTGATATTAGGGCTGCACAATATATCGCTTCAACATCGATATCGCAATGTGCCCATCCACATTACATTGCCGGATCTGCAATGTACACTACCTGACAAAAGTCTTGTCGCCTATTCAAGTTTTAGGAACGGCAAATAATAATTCAACTTCTAGTTGATCATTTGGTAACAGAAGGGGCTAATATTAAGGCAAAGGCCTCTAGATTACGCCTATTTTATCAAAATAAGACACAATCATGCTTTGATTTTTAATTAGTTAATTAGGACAGTAAGATCTGACTTTGCTTAGACAAAAGTCTTGTCACTGAACAGAAACTATGTACAGTATAGAACAGTGGTTCTCAAACTGTGGCACGCAGTCTTCCTTCTAGTGGTACACGGAGGAATGAAATATGTCATTTACATGCTACATATATTTCAAAATTGTATAGAAATATCTATAAACTATCTATAAAATATCTATTAAATAACAAAAAACTAATCTTATAAGTGGTCAGGAACTTATAAATAAATAACTCATGAAAGAATAAAGTTACGGTTAAACCAAGCACACCATTGTTTTTCTTGGGAAATTCCTAATACGTTTGATGCGTCACATGACCCTCTTCCTACTGAAAAAACAAAAGTTGGATCCAAGATGGCCGACTTTAAAATGGCCACCATGGTCACCACCCATCTTGAAAAGTTTGCCCCCTCACATATACTAATGTGCCACAAACAGAACATTGTTATCACCAACCATTCCCATTTTATTAAGGTGTGTCCATATAAATGGCCCACCCTGTACAATAACTTGCCTAATTACCCTAACCTGCCTAGTTACCCTAATTAACCTGGTTAAGCCTTTAAATGTCACTTTAAGCTGTATAGAAGTGTCCTGAAAAAATCTCACTTCAACTGCAGTAACAAAATACAAAACATAGCTCGTCGACATATAGTGCTGTAGCACTTCAGGGCGTCCCGAGTTCGAATCCCGGCTTAAGGACATTTCCCGTCCTCAACCCCTCTCCCTCTCCCACTTCGCTTCCTGTCTAAAATAATGTCCTATCCACTTAATAAAGGCCAAAACTAAATCTTTAAAAAAAAGTATTTTAAATAGCCACTTAAGAGCTGAAATGAGCTGTCCACGCATGTGGCCACTAAGCCCTAGGAGGTTAAGATAATGCATTGTTATTTTACAGTCAAACCTTCTTTGCCTTTGTACCTAGTTCTGACTTTGTAACTGATTTGTCTTATTTTCACAGTCTCTTCAACCCATTGATGAGTTTTTCCTGTTCATGACCTTCCTATCATTGGGCCTGATGCAGAGGGATTTGGCCCACAGATTCAGAATCCACCAATCCGCTGTGAGCCGCATCATCAACACATGGGCTACATTTCTGGATATGGTCCTCAGAGCTGTGGACATTTGGCTGGACAAGAAGACAGTCAAAGCTCACATGCCTGCCGTTTTCCAGCATTACACTGACACCCAGGTGATTTTGTACTGTGCTGAACTGCGTTGCCAGATACCAAACCCTCATCGGAGTCACTTACTTTCTACCTACAAACCTCAGTGGAATTTTAAAGGGTTGATTGGGATGGCTCCTCACGGGGCTGTAACATTCGTTTCATCCCTTTACAAGGGCACCATCAGTGATCCAGAGATTGTAAAGCACTCTGGTGTCGAGGCTCTTGTAAATCCAAAAATGGCAATAATGGTGGATGAGGGTTTCCTGGTTGAAAACTGTGTGTCCTGCAAAGTCCACGTACCTAGCATCCTGTCAAAGAGGGCACAAATGTCTGGGTCAGAGGTCAGGAAAATGCAGTCCCTTGCAAGATTGAGACTCCATGTTGAGCAGCTAATTGGAAGGGTGAAGGAGAACAAGATATTTAGCACGGTAATCCCTCTTTCACTTACTGGCAGCGTCAATCAACTGTACTCGGTTGTCTGTCATTTGGTCAACTACCAAAATGGACCCTTAGTTACTGGCCTGACTAGATGAAGGATTATAGAAATGGATGGTCTCTAAATGTATTTAGCTACTGTCATCACTTGAGTTGAATAATTTTCTTGTTTTATACCCTGCAGAAAAATCCAGTTTAAACCAGCCTAGGCTGGTTGGCTGGTTTTAGCTGGTCGACCAGGCTGGTTTTCGAGGGGTTTTGGCCATTTCCAGGCTGGTTTCCAGCCATTTTCAGCCTGGTCTTAGCTGGTCAGGCTGGAAACTGACCAGCTAAATCCAGCTAAAACCAGCTTGACCAGCCTGGTTTAAGCTGGACATAGCTGGTTTTGGCTGGGCTCCCAGCCTGGCTAGGCTGGTCAAGCTGGTTTTAACTGGTCAGCTTCCAGCCTGACTAGCTAAGACCAGGCTGGAAATGGCTGGAAACCAGCCTGGAAATGGCCAAAACCCCTCGAAAACCAGCTACCTCGAAAACCAACTACTGGATTTTTCAGTAGTTCAGGGAAAGCTTTTTTTTGTTTTTCATTGTACATAATTTGACAATTTTCACGTATAAGTTGTGAAAAAAAAAAGACTTTATTTGGATGACCAGAAATAAAAAGCCATGTTTGTTTTACTGTTTATGAGGGCTGTGCAATATGAAGATATCATATGAACAAAATAAAAAAACAGTTTCATATCATGCTCTGTCGTTTCTATCATGACCATGCACAAAATACATCGATTACGAGAATACGTTTTCATAATTTATATGTCCGCAATATTATATGGCATTATGGGGACGCTGGCAGAAACTTGAATAAGAGCCTGCAATCGTGTTACATTTGTAAAAAATTTGATATTAATATTTTTTGTATGCTTCTACATTTTTGATAATACATTTTTTTTCCCTCAGATTCTAAATGAAGTAAGAAATATGATCACAAATGAATAAATACATACTTTAAAATGTAAAAAAAAAAAAAGAAAGAGTTTGGTCATTTTATGTGAGATGCTAATAGTCTAATCTGATTCAATGATTTATGCTAAGCTAAAAGAAAAAAGAAATAGTCCTTTACATGTGGTCAATTTATGTAAACTTGTTAATTGGATTTACAGAAATGGTGCTATATTATCAGTCAAGTTTCAAATAGGAAAATTATTGAAACCCTTTGTTCATTTTTCAGTGAGATGCTAATGGTCTAATCCGATTCAATGATTTATGCTAAGCTAAGCTAAAATGCTCCCATCAGACCCTGAGATCAGGTGAAGGGATTCAAAAATAATAAAACTCAACCTAATTTATATTTAAATTAATATAAAAATACAGGCCATTACAGGGACGCAGACAGAAGCTTAAATTGGACATTTGTGAGAAAGTTGCAATCTTGAAAGTACGTTTACATTTAGCATTTTATTAAGCTATATATTTTTATTATATATATATATATATATATATATATATATATATATATATATATATATATATATATACATTTTTTTAAGTGTTTTATATTTTCGTATTATTCATTTTTTAGTTCTACGTTTCTGATTAAACATTTGCCCTGAGATTCTAAATAAAGTGAGAAATATGATCACATATGAATGAGTACTTTAAAATGAAAATTTAAGAATTTTCAGTTTGAGTGAACAATCCTTTATAAAAACTGGGGGGGCACAAACTCTTTCTGAGGGGGCAATGACAGCGATGTTTACGAGCGAGCTAAATGCTGCGTTGTGTAACTATGGTACACAGGCGGTATTACTTCATAGTTGCCTAAATATCATTCTGAAATCTCGCCAAGACTCTCGAAGAGCGTAAAAGAGTAATAAGAGTTGAGCATGATATGACGTGAATACTAGTTAGCTCCCATAGAAATATACATTGGATGTCGCCTACCCTGATGTTGTCTATTAGAAGGAATGCGTCAATTGAGTCGCCATTTTAGTACAGGGTAGCGCTCCTTTAAAATTAACACTCCTTTTAATTGAGCGCCATCTAGCGGTCACATAACCTAATGACTAAATATTATGACAACTTGTTCAACTTCTTTTATAAATAAATAAATAAATAAATATATATATAAATATGATATTACTTTTTTTCTCACCACCACACTGGTCTTTTTCACAAGACAAAATTTTGTTGTTGGAAACTATATTTTATATACTTAAATTTGACTTTTGCATGCTAAAAGTACTTGAGTAAGAGACGTTTTACTTGATTTGGGTCATTAAAAAAAATGTAGCCTATTCCTGCTGTAGTCAACCTTAATCCTACTGTAGGTTGACATAAAACCAAAACAACACCCATTCTTGTCTTAGAACATTTTGTTAAGCAAATTTTAAAATAACAGTAAGTTCATAACATGTTAAATATATAGTTTAATTTCCTGGTTTTAAACATACAGAATAATAATAATAAATATAGTTATGAAACAACCATAACATAACCCTTATGTCTTAGGACATCTTTGATTAACTTATTACCTACACCAAATGTTGACTAGTGTACATTTATAACAATCATTTATTTGTTAGACTACTGTATTGTCAAACCATGTTGCATACACATGCATTCAACAGACTAACATGACAGTGCATTGCTGTAGAGGACAAATAAAACACGAGACAGGTGTTTAGAAAGAGTATAGTTTATTTAGATTGACATGCAAACAAGACAAACTTTCAGAAAACAACCCGGAAACATTATAAACGCGCGCACTCGTGAATATAACCCGCGGTTGTCTTCAAAAGTCCTTCTTTGCGCAACAGCTTAGCTAAAAAAAAACAAAGCAAAACATTACTACAGTCCGACAAAAAGCAAAGAGCATAGAATCACATAGAGGCGACACTCTACAATTTGGGAAACAATAACGCGCTTTTTGAATAAATTAAATAAAAACAAAGCAGCAGCTTTCAATCGCGACAGCAATGAGATCCAATGGACGGCCGATCGCGATCACTTCAAAATGGCGGAATCCGGGGCTGTTGCTCTTGGTCATTCTAAGCTCTTAGCATAAAGTTAAATCATAACAGTTACCATGGTGTCTATTTCAAACTACAGTAAACTAAAGTTTGAAACTATAGTTTAAAATAGACGATGAGTGGGCCTCGCTACTCCCACCCACCATAACCCTCGCAGCGAGGTCCCACTACCGGCCCCCCGTGTTTCCCTGAGGGTCCTCGGGGGTTGTTTGTTCCCTGCCTAGGGCTCAAAGGCCGCCTCGCCCCAGGGAGTGCACGAGAAAACCGGGCGCCAGGCCGTGCCAGTATTCACTGGATGTTGCTCGGCGGCACATTTCGAGCAACAAACACGTAATATTCCTTGCGATGTTGCGTTTATGTACGCAAACCACAAGGAACTACAGCACAGACGGGCCCGAGTGAAGCTTCAGGAAGCCGACTTCGTGAGATTGGCGTGGCTCCACTCGTACCGTCGGTATTGAACTCACCTTGGTCAAGTACAAACAGCAACACCGAGCGAACTGACAAGGCTGACAGAGAGCACACGAGCTTTATAGGAATGCATATGCAAATTGTTACAAGGCACGTCACTGCTGTCGCGTTGTCATGGCGATCGCTGAAGAGGGCTCATCTGATTGGAGCACACAGACTCGTGAATCTGCGTCACAGCGAATTGCCGTCTGCAGTACACAAAAATATATTAAATATATTCAATATATATATTTTTTACATTTCTGGTGCTGTGTAATATTCTGGGATGCAGTAGAATATGGAGACAGATGAATATAATTGGCTATATGCCGTGCAAGTGTTGTTCCCATATACTTCTAAACTTCCGAAGACCGGTTAGTGCGAGTTTTTTTCCATTTTATACGGTTCCTTTTACAGCATTCATGTTGTAATGTAATTAAAATACATTCAGTTAAATAAACTTTGGCATTCATTTAGTTGTTCAAGCGTAAAACGAGACAAAAGGCCTTTTACTCGCACTCGCCCGTCAGAATCGGCAGGATAGCGCAGACGCTCCATTGAATATACGGGGTTAAATAAATGCTCATATTATAAAGACATGGCGGGGAAAATGTCATTTAATGCAGTGCTTCTAGTACAATCCGAGACCCACTTCATATCGGAAATCATTCAGCCAGTGGAGATCGCTGATTTTTAAACAAAACTGACCTTAAAAACGTGCAGATTTTTCCTTTGGCATACAGTTCGCCGGAAGCGCTTAACCCAGGTTACTGGCAAATTAAAAGTCCCATTAGCATGCTTCCAGAATGTTTTTCGAAAAAGAGTACGGGTTTAACCCCGGCATCCTGGCCAAATTTATCCACTGGTCTCTGTCCATCATGGCCCTTGGGTTGACTTTTCCGATTTCATTAAAAAATTCTTATTTCCAAACTTCTGTATTTCCCCAAAAAATGTATTATTTGGTTACTCTCTGAGTGTAGATCTTTCTCATTTTAAATCAATTATTGATTTTTTGCTTTTTTTAAAAACAAAATTTCACATCCATAAATGTAAATTTTCAAAGAAACACCCGTACTTTTTTATTTTCAGAAAGGACTTTGAAATTTATGTTCTCCAGGCCTGCAGATGTCGCTTCAGGTGGTTTGAACGACGCACGAGCGCTGCTTTGAAGTACAGAGGAAGACGTGCTGTTAATGGCTGCCTCCATGTCGTGAATGTGAGACCGACAACGATTAACGTTTTATTCGTCTCCCCAGTTTACTGAGGACATAAACGTGCCATATATCGCAAAGGTAAGACTATTTTATAGTTACTTATTGTTTATAATTCGAAGGATGAGTAATTACTCGGTTTGAAACCGTTCGCTTTGAAATCGCTTCCCTCTCAGTTTATTAATGTAACAGTAAATTGATGAATGAAGGATCAAACAGCTCCATTTAAATTAACAGCATATTTACTGGAGAACACGGTTATATTAGTCGCGTGATGTTATGAGTGGTCTGGGATGTATGATATTTTTGGTATTTAATTGTCTGTGTTCTCTCACGAAGCAAATGATTGACGTGTTTGAACTTTTAATAGATTATAGCTTATTTTTTTGCAAATTCAAGAGACATGTGACTTAATCATGCTGATGCACAAATTACGACATTTTATCTTATTTATTGTGAATTCCCAAACAATACCCATTGAACTATAACTATAACTGAATGCGATAATAATATAACTGAGCTATTTCAAATCTGTCAAAATTTACCCCAAATTAAACAAGACGCTTAGAATAAATAAACCCTATTTGTAGCATTATTTTCGTTTTTATAGCTGTAATTAATCCAGAAGAAAAGTTTTTGACATAATATATAAGTTTGTATTGTGTATACATGCATGCATATCTTTGAGTAATCATATATAGTTCATCAAAAAATGAAAATTCTGTCTTCATTTACTCGCCCTTCACGTGTTACAAACCTGTTTGGATTTCTTAATTCCGTTCGACAGAAAAAGAGATATTTTGAAAAATGTTGTAAGCCGGTAACCATTGACCTCCATAGTATTTGTTTTCCCTGTTATGAAGGTCAATGGTTACCAGTTTTCAGCTTTCTTCTGAACATCATCTTTTTTGTTTAACAGAATTACGAAAGAAACTCATAAAAGTGAGAGTAGAGTCCCAAATTTCAACATCGTTTGGCAAAATTCACCCAGTGCACTTTTAACAAGTAACCAACTAGCTGTTGTTTTTAGCCTTTTGCAGTTCAGACTGATTTGCGGTTTGGCATCAGCCGTCACTTCCTTCCAAATGAAGGACGGCAAGGAGAACTCCAACGCCACCTTCGGAAGCTTCACCACAAATCTGGACCACACCAAGCCATGCTGGTACTGGGACAAGAAGGATCTGGCCCACACCCCGTCCCAGTCAGACCTGGACCCAGCCACAGAAGCGCGGTACAGACGAGAGGGAGCCAGGTTCATCTTCGATGTCGGAACACGTTTGGGATTGTATCCTTCAATGCTGCTATTTATAGACTGATCTAAAGATGCTGTGTGTTTATTTATTGATTTAGACTGAATAAGGCTGAAGTTTAAATAGTGTGGTGATTTCCATTTGGACCTTAACCATTTTTAAGACATTATGACACCCTGGCGACAGGAATAACATACTTTCATCGGTTTTATATGTTTCATTCTTTCAAACAGTTCCCCCGATATGTAAGTACAAGCTGTTGTTGAAAAATATTTTTTTTTACTGTTTACATTTTTAAGGAATTGCTCACTCTCCTCTTGTTTCAGAGTTTTTTTTTTCCTCTGTAAAACACAAAAGGAGATATTTAGAATAACATTGAAAACTGGTAACATTGACTGCCGTAGTATTTCTTTTGGTACCTACAATGGAAGTCTACCTTAAACTTCATTCATTCATTCATTTTCTTGTCGGCTTAGTCCCTTTATGATGCTGCGTTCACAACAGACGAGGTACGCGCGTCAAGCGTGAGTGATTTACATGTTAAGTCAATGCAAACGCGCAAATAGACATCCTGCGGCATGATACATGAGAATGGCGCGGAGCGAATGACACAAATAGCGCGAATGGCGCGGTGCGAATGGCGCGATACGCCCGAGGCGATTTGAGCGTTTTGCACATTTGACGCGCTTAACGAGCGTTTCGCGAGAATCTTTCGAGTTCGAAAATCTGAACTTCAGCGGACATTCGCGCAGCGTTAACCAATCAGGAGCTTGCTCTTGTGAGGGCGTGATTGTGACGTAGAACCTGTTGATGGTGTCCCAGGGGAAATCCTCCAGGCGACAGCGACAACAAGACATCAAACTGGGCTTGGCTCAGTCAGAAGCACAGTTGAAAGCCTCCGTGATCCAGGTTCAGTTTCTGGAGGAGTTTATGAGCTCACAGAGCTGGATGCACCTCTAAAAGGATGTAGTGGACTCAGACACGGCCCTAAACGTATCGACGCTGTTGTTTAGTCTTCATAAAGCACATAAACACTGTTATTTTCTCAATAAAATCCATGTTAGCCATTTAGCTATGAAGCTAGAGTCACCGGGCAGACAGAAGCCCTGCCCATCACGCGAATCCGCGTCTGTTCTGAAGTGAATTTGACACGCGAATGAAGCGGATTTGACGCACGAATGAAGCGAGTAAACTTAATTGTTCACGCGACTATTTACGCGCGAATAGCGCGAATTATCCGTGCGTACTGCGTCTGGTGTGAACACAGCATTAATCCGGGGTCGCCACAGCGGAATGAACCGCCAACTTATCCAGCAAGTTTTTACGCAGCGGATACCCTTGCAGCCGCAACCCATCTCTGGGAAACATCCACACACACATTCACACACACATTCATACACTACGGACAATTTAGCCTACCCAATTCGCCTGTACCGCATGTCTTTGGACTGTGGGGGAAACCGGAGCACCCAGAGGAAACCCAACCGAAGGGAGGGAGAACATGCCAACTGAGCCTAGGTTCGAACCAGCGACCTTCTTGCTGTGAGGCGACTGCACTACCTACTGCGCCACAGCCTGGCCCCCTTAAACTTCAGCCGTTTGCATTTCTCGCGATCACAGAAGCTCCCTGTGATCTTAACTAGGTGCAGCTGGAAAAGTGCAAGCGTGTTGCTTCATGCGCGCAATGAAAAATGGCGGACGTGAAACGACAAACTAAGGATATGGTGACGCGCCAGTCAATCAATATTGGTGGGCGGGGGGACCACACTCCTACATCAAGTTGCGGTCGGTCTGAAAACCGCTCCAATTGGTCCACCGTTTTTATGTTATTAAATTGAAAAAAAAGGACTGTGAGTGTGGATATCACCCCAATATGACGGTCTATACACTACTTACACACATGTGTGTCCAAACAGCTTGAAAGGTAGATTTTTCACCATAGGTGCCCTTTAACAAGGTGGCGAAGTCAAAACTAATTTTCAGGTGAAACACAACAAACCCCTAAAATAACGACCTGTGTGAACGCCCCCAAAATGACATTTTTTAACACATTATAATAAACAAATCTGAATTGTGTTCAAGACTCAGAAGGTGCACTCAGAAGAACCATAATATTAAATCTTAAAAAAGGTGTACCCTTTAAAAAAACTGATAGCCATCTTGTTTCAAATATAGCAAACTATAATTTTCCCCCTCACTTTTATCTCTGCAGGTTACCGGGGCTTGTTGTCTTTTCCTGGCTGGTAAAGTGGAAGAAACTCCCAAGAAGTGTAAAGACATCATTAAAACCGCTCGCAGTCTGCTCAACGATGTGCAGTTTGCACAGTTTGGAGATGACCCAAAGGTTTGCGACATATTCAACACACACTCTTTTTTAATTTTATATTTATTAATTTATATATATATATATATATATATATATATATATATATATATATATATAATTTTTTTTTATCATGGCTGTATTAAAGATGACTGATTTTCTTCACAGGAGGAGGTCATGGTGTTGGAAAGAATTTTACTGCAGACAATCAAGTTTGATTTGCAAGTTGAACACCCCTATCAGTTTCTGCTGCGCTACGCTAAACAGCTGAAAGGTAGTACTAGTAAGGTTCCCACACTTCTTCAATGTTCTTTGAAAGTACTTGAATTTCAGAAATATGGATTCACGACCCGGGCTCTGTTCTTTGTACCTTGCTTAAATGATCTAAGGGTGCTTTCACAACTACACTTTTGTTTCGGAACGTATCTCGTTTGCCCAGTTAGCGCGGTTCGTTTGGCATATGTGAACAGGGCAATCACGCTCTGTTCCGCGACAAAGTAATCGCTCCGAGATCGCTTGAATGAGGTGGTCTCGGCTTGATTGAAACGAACCCTGGAGCGGCTCGATTGCAGTGAGAAAGCGATCCGATCCGAGCGCGGTTATATCCCTGTGTTTTATGGATGTGTAATAGGCATTCGGCTATATGAAGAGAGTATTATGAGTATGGTGGGAAGTTTCACGAGTCTCCGGATGCCCGCAAACGAGTGATGATCTCCCGGTAATCTCGCGTCTCCCTCCCGGTCCTCAAATAGGCATCGTCGCGCACCCTTCTCACCCCTCCCCACCGCATCTCTCCTCAGACACGTCGCGCGCACCCTGTCAATCACCACCAAACCACCACCTCTCCTGACAGCTGAGCGGGACGCTGCAAAATAAACCCTGACACTCTGACCAATGTGAGGAGAGTTTACTCGCACGTGACTTGTTTTAGCTCTTTTGGTCCGATTAGAAACTTTGCAGTGTGAAAGCGAACCGCTCCAAGAGCAAAGAGCAACAATGTAACAATTGTAATCTCTGTTTCGGAACAACTGAATCGATTCACAGGTGTGAAAGCTCCCTAAGATGATTTTGTAGATCCTGGATCTATTAATCTTGATAACTGATCTCTGCCTAATTTGGTCAAAAAAGTTTGCGAATTAGATTAATGTCTGAATGAACTGATCTGAGATCACAACATGTGTTGCGAAGAATAGATCTATCGATCCTCTGTCATGATCAGCAATGCAAAGATTGGTTAATCGTTAATTATACGATTAATATTTAATTATCAGTCTGAGTAATATTTATTTTTATTCGTAGTGAACTGTTTGTTAAATATGATATGCAGTAACTTTCCACATTTGTGGGCTGCATGCTTTGCACTTTCATATGTCAAGATGTCAATTTTATTTATATAGCACTTTTAAACACAAAGGTTGGCCAATGTGCTGCACAATACAAATCACAAAGAGAACGATATAAAATTATAGCTAAAGCAAATAATTCTCACTGATAAAATGCCAAATCAAAAAGTGTTCAACCTGCATTTAAAAACAGACAGAGATGATATAGATCTAATACAGAGGGGCAGAGCATTCCACAAGCACGGCCACCCCTGCATTTCAGCCTCGACTTGCATAATAGTCTCTGGTTAGATGACTGAAGAGACCGACCAGGGTGATGTTCAGTCAACAGGTCTGGCAGGTAAGAGGGAGCCAAGCCAATTAGGGATTTAAAAACCAAGGGAAGAATTATGTGAGCCATTTTGTTGTGAAGACCACAGCACATTAGCGCTAGGTTGTAAAATTAATAAAGTTGATTTGTCATAGACCAGCAGAGAGAAACCACACGGTTTCACATAAGAGATAACACCCAATAAAAAGTACAGACTTCAAATTAGATTACGAGACTGACGGCAAGCCACAAACACCGGCGCCATCGCTCACACTCAAAAGTATATAGCAATTTATTTAGTTTTACTTTTAGAGGGATTTTTTTTTAGTATAGTAGCCTAGGCCTATTCAAGTTTCTTAATAAATGGCTGTTCAAAATAATTTTTTATCAAAGAGAATTTTGATATTGGTAACTGTCCGCAACCTTTGCGACGCATCAAATCACTGGAAAATTAGCTGTCAAAACGTGCACGACTGCATAAATTATTAGAAATTTTCTAAAAAAGTAATAAAAAACGAGAAAAAAATTTAATATTGGCCATGTCGTCTATTATCATACATAAATTGTACTTAAGCTGGGACGGTACTTTAAAATAATATGTGTTTGTGTCTAAAAAGTCCATAAATGTTCTCTTTGTGCGTACTCGCACTATGTACAGTTGAACCGGGCCAAAGCATGCTTGTCCCCCGACGGCCCGCACTCGCATTACATTCGGGCCACGACACGCTTACGTCATCCATAATTTGTGTTCAGTAAGCACTTTCGCTCAGCTCAGTGAAGATTTCTTTAGTCATTTCGTTTAAGTCGTTTGATATGCAGTGATATTTCGCCGAACAGATCAGCCACTTTTGACGCTCATAAACAATCAAAAAGTCCTCGTGCTGCAGGAATTAGGAGGTTTGCTAAAGGTGCAGCTGTGGTACAGCGAGGGGTTTGCATCTTTAATAATCTATGACAGTTTGCATCCATTGAACAGTAAGAATGAATTATAAACGCTTATGAAATAGTCCCTTAAAATGTCACGTCTCGCTTTCAGTTTCGGGCTCAGGCGCGTTTAGCACTCACACACAAGCGTGAACCCAAGTGAATCGCTCTCTGGCACACCTCTTCCAACCAGGCCAGGGCCGGCCAGGTGAACCGTGCCTGAGCTCGATTCAGAGCACTCACACTTCTCAAACGATCCGGGAAACGGGCCTGGGCACGGTGTAGCATAGTGTGAGTAGGCCCTTTAAATCCCTTGGGGAGAGAACACCCCCATAACAGTTTTGTTACTTTTATTTAGAGTGCTGTGTAAGTTTTATTTATAATTTTTTAAAAACTATTTTACTATTTTCTCCAGTGTGAATAATCTACAGGTCAGCTACTACTGTAAGAAAATAACAGCATTTGGTACATACTTTCAGCAATACCTTTGCTTGAAATGGTCCGATCTAATCCTATTATATGAATAAACCTGCTCCTGAGCAGGTTTGAGCTACCCGAACTGTTGCTATGACAACAACTCTCGGATGAGTTGTGAAGATCGAAACAATCCTGGATCATGTCAATTCGTTAATAATCAAATCCAGCTAATCGAGTAATCCATGTAGTACAAAGGACGGAGCCCTGGAAAGTACTTAAAAACAAGCACAGGTCCTTGAAAGTGCTTGTTCTTGTTTATTTCAACAGTTGTACTCAATTGTCAGAAACAGAATGAAAATAATGAAATTCTTAATTTAAAAATCTTATGTTTAAATCTTTTACAGTAATAATGACAAATAATGTAGATTTGATTAATATTTCAGAAACCGTTTTAAAATGATCTTTTCACTTATGACTCTTTCCTCTTCCCAAAATAATTTGATTTTTGTAACGTTACACTGCCAAATACAGTGAAACGAGGTTCCTCTAGCTTCTAAATGTGCTTGATTTAAAATGAATGGTGTATTATAAGTCCTTGAATCTGCTGTTTGAATCCTGTACATTTGAGAAAAGTCACTACTGGTTGGTTTGACGCTCTGATGGTTTGATTTGAAGGTGACAAGAACAAAGTTCAGAAGCTTGTACAGATGGCGTGGACCTTTGTCAATGACAGGTATGATTCATTTTTACTTTTTTTTTTAACATAAAATATATGTTAGCATAAAGGCCTGTGCACATTGAGACATTTTATATTTGCGTTTTCCGTCAACGTTTAACGCCTGGTAACTATATATAAATGGCATCAATGTGATCGTGCACACCAACGCGCAAAACGCCAGGCGCAAAATCATCATTTAAAAAAAAAATGGCTCATGCTCGTTTTAGTGATGTGCGGATCGATACTAAAATATCAATATCTCCAATGCCAGCGTTGTGTGTTCTAGAGTCGATAATCTCATCAAAATATCGATATTTCAGTAATTTGGAGCAAATACGTAGTTTATTGGAAATAAAAATAAAGCGGAAACCACAATTATCCTAGTTGATCTGAATATAGCCAACTTAGGCGGAACTACTTGTTCTTCCTCCTGCCAAGTCATGTGATCAACTCCTTGTTCAAGCTCTTGTTCTCTCCAAACTGGATTACTGCAACTCTCTACTAGCCGAGCTCCCAGCTAACTCTATCAAGCCTCTTCAGCTGCTCCAGAATGCAGCAGCACGAGTGGTCTTCAATGAACCTAAACGAGCACATGTCACTCCGCTGCTCATCCGTTTGCACTGGCTGCCAGTTGCTGCTCGCATCAAATTCAAAGCTCTGATGTTTGCCTACAAAGCGACTTCTGGCTTTGCTCCTTCTTATCTGCTCTCACTTCTGCAGATCTATGTGCCCTCCAGAAACTTGCGTTCTGTGAAAAAACTCAACTATTTAGTCTCCACTTCCCTTCCTAATCTGCAATCGCCTCTCTGGATATACCACTTACTGTACTCAAAAAAAAAAAAAATTACTAAAATATTTCTAATACTTTCCTTCTTAGACTGTACAGACCTGAAACTTGCCTATAGCACTTATTCATTGTTGCTCTTATAGTTGTGTAAGTTGCTTCCTTGTCCTCATTTGTAAGTCGCTTTGGATAAAAGCGTCAGCTAAATGACTAAATGTAAATGTATGTAATATGGCACTATGAATGCAGAGCACACTAGAAAACTCAGTCAGTCCACGCTGGCACATGTTGTTCAGGCACGCTGTCAGTCACTTCACTTCCAAAAACTCAAATAATGCCGTTTGTGACGTGTAACAAAACATTAAAGTACTGTGGTAAAACCAGAAACCTAATCAAACGCCTACATATAAATCACAACACAGCATATGACTCCGTCATGACTAGGCGGTCAGAAGAGGAGGAAAGAAGAGGCACAAGTTCTGCTAGGGCGAGACAGACATCGCTTTCAGAGTCCTTAGGTGCAGCAGGCAGGCACTATGCAGGTACAGAGGGAGAAAATGCGGCGATGTGGCTCTATTTTGGGGGTTTTGGTTTTTGTGACAATGATAAAACAAAAGAAAAAGGTTAAAAATCTTCAAGGGGATCGGATTAACATCACTAAAATGAAAACTGTGAATGTTTATTGTTTAATGGTAAGATGTTCAGGCAGGCGTTTGAAGATATACGTCAGGGGTCACCAATCTCGGTCCTGGAGGTCCAGTGTCCCTGCAGGGTTTAGCTCCAACTTGCCACAACACACCTGCCTGGATGTTTAAAGTTTACCTAGCAAGACCTTGATTAGCTTGTTCAGGTGTGTTTGATTAGGGTTGGAGCTAATATCTGCAGGACACCAGCCCTCCAGGAACAAGTTTGGTGACCACTTATATACATGCTCAGATGCTGTCAATAAATGTATAAGTTGTCTCATTTTTGTATGTTAATTCTTCATCAATAAACAAGAATAAGCTGTAATATGTCTCGTATTCAGTGTAAATTGACACTTTTAAGTACACTACTTGTTACTTTAATTTCCCAAACAGTATTTTGTGGGCAAAGTATCGTTATCGGATCGATACTCGCCTTCATTTTAATTTGTATCGGATCGGATAGGGAACCAGTGGTATCGCACATCACAAGCTCGTTTTATTTGATTAGACGCGCCACGTTAAAACCTTCTCCACCAATCAGATTGGCACTTTTGTTAACGTGCACGGAGCTGCTGAAGTTACATTAAACAGCACTGGGAGGCGCTCAAGCGCAAAACTGTCAATGCGAGCGCACATTGAAGATGCCCAGAGGCGATATGAACGTAGAGCTGCTTGTTGCTCTTGTGAACAATAATCATTTCTTCATCGGTAGAGCTGGAGCTGCTGCTTGATAGATCTATGCTTGTTTGAGTCACCAGTAACTTTAACAACAAGTGTGTGAACTTCCTCTCCTCCTCTTCTTTTGTGTTATAAGAAGGTGTCAGAATCTTAGGGCCCTATCATACACCCGGCGCAATGTGGCGCAGGGCACGGCGCAATAGCCTTTTGGTAGTTTCAGCTTGGCGCAAGAGACGTTCTGAGGCGTTGCGCTACGCTGTTTAAATAGCAAATGCATTAGCGCTCAATTGTGCGCCCATAGGCGTTCTGGTCGACAAAGGAAGGCGTTCTGAGGCGGACCGCTGGCGCGTTGCTATTTTGAGAAACTAAAATAGATTTTTCATTAGACCAAAACAAACCCGGTCTAAACTCAGGCGCAGAGTTGCGCCTCGCTTACAAACTGCTTAATACGCACAAGAGAGCAATAGGCAAATATCTTTACATATGAAAACATTTAAATATTAAGGATATATATAGGATATAATAAGAATAGATATAGGATATAAATATAAAGGATTAAAATATTACAAAACATATTATTTTCTAGCCTACATAAATATGAAAAACCACTGCTTTTATGTCTTCATCTTGGGAGGCTTTTTCAGTTCATTCATAACAATTTGCTTTTGTATAATGTTATTATTATTAGCAGTATTATTTATTATATCCATATTTATATTTGTTTTATTAAAAACAAGCTTAGATTTGCCCACCTGTCAGGTTTTAGACCATATGGGGCACAGCATGTGTTTTAGGATATAACTCAGGTTTTTGAGCACACTTCGTTATTATTATTCATTTATTCATTTGCTGGAAATTAGAACTGAATTTAGAAATAGTTTTGAAACAAATATTTGCGCTTAACAAATGCAAGTAATTATTTATAGACTAATTGATGTCTGTGCGTAAAGGTTTCCCTATCCAAGAGGGAAAGTGAAAGTAGATCGATTATCTCTCATTCTCAGCAGTAGATGCTCTGTTTTTAACATTCATAAATTATTTCATTTATGATTTTAAAACATTCATAATTATTTTAAAGCTTCATGAAGCAATGTTTGGAAAGCTGTCATCACTACCTCAGTGTGGATTTTGTTCGTTTGTATTTTCCAGCCTCTGCACGATGCTGTCGCTTCAGTGGGAGCCAGAGATCATAGCAGTAGCGGTGATGTACCTTGCTGGCCGGCTTTGCAAGTTTGACATTCAGGAGTGGACTTCTAAGCAGTCGTCTCGCCGCTGGTGGGAGCAGTTTGTCCAGGACGTTCCAGTGGAGCTGCTGGAAGGTAAGAGACTGCATCATGTGTTTGACACAACATACATTTTTAAAAGGCTACACAATAAATAGTTTCAGACATCAGCTTGCACATCATAAGGTACAATACCATACAGTAGCATAAAATACATAGCTTTAAAATCTACCATATCGAGGGTTGAGGGAGCTGTTGCGGACGTCGCCCTCTCTATTCTGCCGCCCTAGATGCGGATATAACTGAAGGCGCATGTGGTGAGGGGTAGTGTTGCGTACGCTGGCCTCTCTATTCTGCCGCACTAGATGCGGATATAACTAAGGGTACGGGTGGTGAGGGTAGTGTCGGGGACGCTGCCCTCTCTATTCTGCCGCCCTAGACGCGGATATAACTGAGGACGCATGTGGTGAGGGTAGTGTCGCGGACACCCCCCTCTCTATTCTGGCGCCCTGGAAGCGGATATAACTGAGGGCGTGGGTGGTGAGGGTAGTGTCATGGACACCGCCCGGGATCGAGTTTGGACACCCCTGATATTGAGTATTTAGACATGGGTCGGTGTAAGATTCTGACGGTATGATAACCTTGGATAAAAATTTCACAGTATTGTGAGTACTGCTTTAAAATGTTTTTTTTAAATGTCTGGGAAAGAAGCTACTTTTTCAACCGTGACTTTTTCAAACCACGGTAAACCTTGAGACAGGTTAACATCCCATGCCTAACAGTAATTTAAACGGTTATATTCAAGACCATGTAACCTCTTTGCACCACTCACCAACGTCAGTTCTAAAGCTGTGGACCAATCAGAAGAACTCCGAGACGGGGCCAGAGTTAAGCTTCTGTTTACAGTAACATGTTGGCATGACGAGGTTTTGTTTGAAGGCAACATGGTGGAGATGTTTGTTTTTTTAAAACCGTTCTGCAATGTCATTACTTTCCAATACTATGCAGCAATACCTTCAAACACCCTACATTTCTAAACTCAGAAGTTTGATGAAATCTCAAGTCTTGATTCCTTAAAGGGCCATGAAACCCCCTCGTTTCAGCAGGGTGTTTTCACACCTCTACTTTGGAAAAAGTCAGAAAAGTGGGCGTGTCCAGCTCTGTTTAGGGGGGAGTGTCGGAGGAAGAAAAGAGGCTTGGTGTGGGAGTGTATTTGGGCACGCGCTGAGTTTTAGAGTCAAAACACACACACACAGGGGACAAAGTGACTGTGTTTACATGGACATCTGTAGTCGAATTATTTGCCAAATTATTAAATGGTGGACTTTAACTGCAGTTTGACTTTTTCATTCAGGGAATTCATTCATGTCCCTCACGACAAACGTGATATTTGATTCGAGGAACTGCTCTAAGCGTGTATTTTTCATGCAATGTTTGATACCACACGGCGAATGAGAGAAAAAAAAACTCAGCATTTCCCGGAAACTTAGATGCACAAGGCAGGTAGCGTCAGAAAGCCGCGTGTGTTATTCCGGTCACAAAATGCGGTAAAAATCCTACACGAGGTTAAAGTTTTGTTGTGGTGCTAACATGTTTGTACTCGGTGCAATAGTTAACTTAGTTCGATACGAACAAACTGAATAAACAAAGAGCGCTGGTCGCTCACTTACCAAATCTGTAGAGACAGGACAATCACCAGCAACTAGAGCCGCGTCTTTATTAAGAGGAGACTACAAGCGAATCCGGATCTCAGTGTTTGCAGATGAGCTCTCAGCTCTCAGGTAAACAATGTTCCTCCTTAGACACGTAAGTTATTGTTGTCGAGCGTCGCGTACACTGTTAATCCACACGTGACTCCAGCTGCGTTCTCACAGAGAGAAAATGAAAACAAAACTTAACTGCAGCAAACTATAAAAGCAACACTTCACGCTTGTTTTGCCAACACAACGTGGCGTCTAAACACTCTGACAGTAATGAATATTAATGAAGTTGCACAATAGAGCGCGCTGATTGGTTTGAACCAAGCCTTACTCATGCATTAATGCATCACACTGTAAGACGTAATAAGACACACTCTGGCACAGACGTCCAGTCTGCACGCTGGAATACACGCTATTATGTCATGGTCGTGACGCAGCTTCAAAAATTCGTTTCAAACCGGAAGTACAAATTTGCTTGAAATAACGCAAAAACAACAAATTTACACTTTTTAGTGAAATATAGGTGTCCTAATAGTGTTTTTAGCAGTGTGGGACACATATACCACTGTCAACAGCTCAAAACATGTGTTTTGGTGTTTCGTGACCCTTTAAGATTTATTGTGACGTATTTTACTGCTTACCTTCTGTATCTTATGGTATTGCTCTTGTGGTTCACAGATATCTGCCACCAGATTCTGGATTTGTACTCTCAGGGTAAGCAGCCGATCCCCCAGCAGCCTCCGATGCAGGACAAAGAGAAACCGCCACCCCCCCCCGCTGCTCCTCCCGGCCAATCAGGGGCGCAGAACCCACCCGCTCAACCTCCCTCCAAGAAGAACTCCCCCCAGGCCAGCCCGCCCGCCAAGATCAAACGCCAACATGTAAGTAAAGCATTTACTATGGGCTACGATACACAGTTAAACCAAAAATCATTCATCAACATTTCTCACATCATCACAGTATGTTTACTATAGTTTAGTTTATAATTTTTGCTTTACTGTTACAAACAAACAAGCAAGCTGCTTCTTTAAGCCTAGTTCACACTAGAGGATTTTAAGCCTGATTTGAGCCCGATTTGGAAGTTACGAGCTTGCCGACAGATCGGGCTGTGATCGGGAAGAAATCTGCGGGTGCTCTGCGCTCGCCGCTCTTTATGTGTGAACTACTGAACAACGCATCAACGAGGCTCGCTGACGTGTCACCGACACCTCGCAGACGGAAATCCAACATTCAGCATGCTAAATATTCCAGAGCAGTCGGCCGACTCAACCCCACGTGTGGTCAGATGTAGTGACGAGCTGCAGCCAATGAGAGAGCATATCAACATGAGCTGAATGCCTGTGTGCTCAGGAGCTCAGCAGAAACATCTGTGATTGGTCAGAATGGGCATCGGTGCACTCGCTTCATTCTGCGTTAGCACAGACATGAGAGTAGGCTATATTAACAGTGGAACTAGAATTCTGTAACTATTAGAATTACCATACTGCTCATTCTGACCGTTCTCATATAAAACACCATACTGTCACAACATATTTACATTCAAAGCTTCTATTGAGATATTAAAATTAAGCTTTGAATGTCTGGCATCATATTTAATGACACCAAAATATAATCTTAAAACAGCCTATAAATATGTAGTTAAGATACTAAAACACTTATAGGCTTGGCTTTCATTTTCACTTTCAAACAGGAGCTATTTCACAGCACAGAATATGCTGTTTTGAAAGATATCTGAAGTAAATTGATGTTTTTGCTATCAGAAAGTTTTGTTTATGTTAGCAGGAAGTTGCTAGGCAAGAAAATGCACACATAATTAAAGTCACAGCGAAAAGTATCAGACATGCATGCAGTCATTTTGACCAATATGGTAATTTAAGGCAGAAATGCTCAGTTCTTTACTGTTTTGTAATAAAAAAAATAACAATGTCAGAAAGAAATACACTGATAGTTAGAAAACGGCAGGGTGTTATAAATATGTTAGTTTTATTTCAAATAGTTATAAAATTACAAAAATTAAAAACTCTCTGTGTATCTATCCAATCGAACCTTGCAGATGAGTGATTAACCTGCTGATAAATCAGCTGATTTGACGATGTTTTTAAATGCTTTCTCCAAAGCTTGAAACGCTGTCAGTGATGTAATCAGCACACAAACAGCCAATAGTGTTCAGCTTTTTCTGACGACTCCTCCCTCAAAATTTCATTGGCTGTGGTTTGGTAGCTTGAATGAGCTGTTGGGGAATGAGTTGTTGTCAGATCATGTAGTGTTTGACCCCCTCTTGTGGATCATTCACGTAATGTCGCGTAGTGTGAACACCACAGAGATTAAAAAACACAAAGTCAAGTCATGTAGTGTGAACGGCACAGCGATCTGCTGATGTTTGAAATCCTGTAGTGTGAACTAGGCTTTAAGAGGAAAATGAAAGGATTGGTTAGATAGCTTCTGTATGCGTTAGGTAATCTAAAACTCCTATCTTTTTGTGTTGTTTTGTAGGTCTCTCCTAAAGATGAACCCAAAGCTCCAGCAGGTAAATAATTTTGCTTGCAAAGGACATTTTATTGTTTCACGAGAACCAATGTCTATTGTGAGATTATGAGTTTCCTATTGTATTAAGTGTAAATTACTCTCTGTCACTGTTTCAGAGCAAGTCGGCTCTAAGATACCACGTCTGGAGAGTCCCATGCCGCCTCTTCCTGTTTCTCAACCCCCTGGTGAGACTTGCTTTGTTTTAAAAGAAGCAGCACAATAAATCTTCGCACAGAACTCCGCAGATTTTTAGCCCATCATTAATTGTTTTTTGACTTGATTAAATGTGTGTAAATCTATATTTATTCAGGTTTTTTTTTTATTTATTTCGGTAATATTATTGACTAATGTGAAAATGTTCATCTGATTTATGTACAATGCCGTTTGTACAGTAATATTTTCTGTCTTTTAGTAGAGATATTATATGAGAGACTTGCTTTGTTTGGCAAATAAAGTTAATCTAATTGGATTTGCATTGTAAACATTAAATAAAAGTTTAAAAGGTATTACTTTTTATTTCACATATTGAGGTTTTAGTTATGACACTCCCAAAATAATTTCGCAGAAATCCGCAGACTTTTACCAAAATTCTCTGCAGAAATAGCAAAAAACATCTGCAGATTCCGTCTGGCCCTACTCATCACACACAATAAGTAATGTTTAAAAAATAAAGGAAAAGAAAAGACGGAACTTTAAAAATGTACATTCATTGCCGAGCGAGACACATGCTTTCTGTTTATTCTAGAATGCGCATGCTCAGAGTGCGCGAATGGTCACGTGATATACGTTTTTGGTGGTGTAGTGTGGATATGTTCGGAAACGCTAGTGTGGACGCGGATGGTTTTTGATCTAAAACGCCATTTTAAAACTAAAACGCACTAGTGTAAACGAGGCCTTAATCTATTTTTGTAATTTTATGCAAAGATGATGTAACACATACATAAATAAGTAGAAACAGGGGCGGACTGGGACAAAAATTCAGCCCTGGCACTAGTTGCCACACCAGCCCACATTACCACACGATACAGACCCACCCACGGACATGCATATTCACTATTTATTTTAGTGTAAAGATGGTGAAATAATATGACATTCTTGCCAAATTTTGATTATGTCCGGGTAACCTTGGATTGGGTCTTGAAACCAGACGGCAGTTGCCGATTGGGCCGAATGCTTAACATTTATTATTATTATTATTATTTTTATCATCATCATCATCATGATATCATATCTAGCAAGAGATAAAAGCTGTCTGCACATAAAAAAATACATATTAAAAAAAAAACTGACCGGCCCACATTTAAAAATTGGTCCGGCCCTTCTGGCATTTGCCAAAATTGCCAGATGGCCAGTCCGCCCCTGAGTAGAAATGTTCACTCGTTTATTTAAAAATTTAAATAATAAAAGCCTTTAAGGATTCAAGATGCTGATGACCATTAAAGACATCATATCAATCTTGTAAAAAAGATCCATAGGCATTTTTCGATTCGTGCAGTTTAAAATGTAATGAACGCAACCACTAATAATGCCTCTGACATCTTACTACACAGAACGCAAGACTCCATCTGCCATCCCAGCACCTCCTGCAGAAGCCGAGCCAGCTGCGGCATCAGAACTGGACCCAGCACAAGGACCTGCTCCTCCTCTGCCACACGGAGCCCCTCCCCCTCTGCCACACCGCCCACCGCCGCCTCCACCCTCCAGCTACATCATGGGCATGTCCACGTCCAGTTCCTACATGTCTGGGGAGGGGTTTCAGAGTCTGCAGTCTATGATGAAGACCGAAGGGCCCTCCTACGCGCCCATGCCCCCTTCGTACAGGATGGCCTATCACCCACATGTCTATGCGCACACAAACCCTCCCCCTCCAGGTCCTCCGCCTCCAGCCTCTTACCCTCCTCCCAATCTGCCCCCGCCCACTCCAGCTTACCCTCCTCCAGGGTACAACCCTAGCTACCCGCCTCCGCCGCCACACATGCCACCAGGGCACAACGTACCCCCTCCGGGAATGGGTTTACCGCCTGCTGGGTACCCTCCTCCTCCTGTTCCACCAGGCCAGCCTCAGCTGCCGCCCCACGCCATCACAGGAATGAACAGAGGGGCATGGATGAGATGAGATGAGAAGATGAGACGCGTGCCTGTATACAATACACAGAGCTCACATCTAAAAACCAACTGATATGTTTCTAAACAGGGGTGTCCAAACTCGGTCCTGCAGGGCCGGTGTCCTCCGGAATTTAGCTCTTCACCTGCTAGGATGCTTCTAGAAAGCCTAGCAAGGGCTTGATTAGCTAGCCCAAGTGTGTCTGATTGGGGTTGGAACTAAACTTTGCAGGACATCGGCCCTCCAGGACTGAGTTTGGACATGCCTGTTCTAAAATGAGCATTTTTATTCTCATCCTCTCGTCTGAAGGTTCAGTAATTTCACTTTCATGGCAGTTAAGAGTTCCCTTTTATTGTGTTTAAAGTGAAATAAGTGAAAATAAACAGAGGAAGCTGACAAAAGTGCTCACTTTAGATGGCAACTAGAGGTTTTTGCTTCTGAACTCTACACCGTCAGGTTTCTATGTATTCTGATGCAGGTTTTATAGGAAGGTGTAGACCAGGGGTGTCCAAATTCTGTCCTGGAGGGCCGGTTTCCTGCTTATTTTAGTTCCAGTTCTAATTAAACACACCTGAACCAGCTAATCAAGCTCTTTCTAGGTATACTAGAAACTTCTAAGGAGGTGTGTTGAAGGAAGTTGGAGCTAAACTATGCAGGACACCGGCACAACAGGACCGAGTTTGGACATGCCTGTTCTAAAATGAGCATTTTTATTCTTATCCTCTCGTCTGAAGGTTCAGTAATTTCACTTTCATGGCAGTTAAGAGTTCCCTTTTATTGCGTTTAAAGTTAAATTAGCGAAGATAAACAGAGGAAGCTGACAAAAGTGCTCACTTTAGATGGCAACTAGAGGTTTTTGGCTTCTGAACTCTACACCATCAGGTTTCTATGTATTCTGATGCAGGTTTATTGGAAAGTGTAGACCAGGGCTGTCCAAACTCGGTCCTGGAGGGCCGGTTTCCTGCTTATTTTAGTTCCAACCCCAATTAAACACACCTGAACCAGCTAATCAAGCTCTTTCTGGGTATACTAGAAACTTCCAAGGAGGTGTGTTGAAGGAAGTTGGAGCTAAACTATGCAGAACACCGGCCCTCCAGGACTGAGTTTGGACATGCCTGTTCTAAAATGAGCATTTTTATTCTCATCCTCTCGTCTGTAGGTTCAGTAATTTCACTTTCATGGCAGTTAAGAGTTCCCTTTTATTGCGTTTAAAGTGAAATAAGTGAAAATAAACAGAGGAAGCTTACAAAAGTGCTCACTTTAGATGGCAACTAGAGGTTTTTGCTTCTGAACTCTACACCATCAGGTTTCTATGTATTCTGATGCAGGTTTTATAGGAAGGTGTAGACCAGGGGTGTACAAACTCAGTCCTGGAGGGCCGGTGTCCTGCTTATTTTAGTTCCAATTTCAATTAAACACATCTGAACCAGCTAATCAAGCTCTTTATAAGTATACTAGAAACTTCCAAGGAGGTGTGTTGAAGGAAGTTGGAGCTAAACTATGACACCGGCACTACAGGACCGAGTTTGGACACCCATGCTTGAATTGGAGTGTCAGGAAGTCTATGAAATACCACAGGCTTCCACTTGGGTTCAGGGTTTCACCGTTCTGTAGACTTCATCTCTACTTACTTGATTTAAAAGGATAACCCTGCTGAAAAAAACAGCTTAAACCAGCCTAGGCTGGTTGGCTGCTTTTAGCAGGTCGACCAGGCTGGTTTTAGAGGGGTTTTGGTCATTTCCAGGCTGGTTTCCAGCCATTTCCAGCCTGGTCTTAGCTGGTCAGGCTGGGACCAGCTTGACCAGCTTAGCCAGGCTGGGTGCCCAGCCAAAACCAGCCATGTCCAGCTTAATCCAGGCTGGTCAAGCTGGTTTTAGCTGGATTTAGCTGGGCATTTGTCTAGCCTGACCAGCTAAGACCAGGCTGGAAATGGCCAAAACCCCTCTAAAACCTGAGCTGGATTTTTCAGCAGGGAATTCATCGCTAAAACAAAAACCTGTCGTGTTCATCTACTCATCCTCCTGCTAAAGGGAAGGTTCATCCATGAATGTTGAGCACAAAGGAAGATATCTTGAAGGTCGTTGGAAACTCCAGGGCATTTTCTTCTTACTATGGATGTCATTGTGGGTTTTGGTTTTCAACGTTCTTCAAAATATCTGTTTTCTATGTTTGAAAAAAACATTTTTAGGACGGCAACAAAAAAAGTCATAGCAGTTTGGAGCCACATAAGGGGTGATTCATTTAATTTTATGGGTGAACTATCCCATAAGGTCTAACAACAGTACAGACCATGTGGATCTAATTGAGGATGTTTTCAGTGTTAAATGCTCTCACACTAGGATGTTTTTGTGATTATAATGCACAAGTAGATGTATAAATTGGTCTGACAGGAGGTAAAGATTCAGGTCTTTACATTTCTAAGGCTTGAATAATGACAGCATCTGCAGCTTTGTTTAATATAATTGTCACTATTTACTCTCAAGTGTTTCCAAACCTCTATGACAGGGGTGCCCAAACTCAGTCCTTGAGGGCCGGTGTCCTGCATAGTTTAGCTCACACTTCCTCCAACACACCTGCCTGGAGATCTAGTACACCTAGAAAGAGCTTGATTAGTTGCCTCGGGTGTGTTTAATTGGGGTTGGAACTAAAATATGCAGGACACCGGCCCTCCAGGACTGAGTTTGGAGGCCCCTGCTCTGATTTTCTTTCTTCTGTTAAACACAAAAGAAGATATTTAGATGATGATAGAAACCTGTAATCATTGACTTCCATAGTATGTATTTCTCCTACTTATTGAAGTCAATGCTTAGCAGTTGAGTGAAGGGTGAGTAAATGACAGACGTTTTCAGTTTTGGGTGAACTATCCCTTTAAATCCATTCTTATCACCACTTACATTCCAAATACCTTTCTATGAACGAATTATGAATTCTTCATTGTACATATGGGTTATTCTGTATTATCTTTAGAGTGTGTTGCTTTTTTTTGTTTGTTATTTTCCCAGTGTTGTGTTCCTCTGGCTTACTTTTTAGTTAGTTTGTTGCAGACTTCTTCTTATTTCCTTAGCAAGATCGGGAAAACGTCCCACAAATCTTCCTTAGCAGTAGGTAATTCTGATGCCTTTTTGGCATCTTTGACTGACCTGAGATCAGGTGCAATGATTGGGCATGTTGGTTTCATAGTTTCCCGAATGTGCCTTAGTTTGGTTTATAGTTGATCGAGGGACTCTCTGTGCTCAACTAGCTTGTGTTTACCTGTTGATTCTTTTAGGCAGATAATAAAAACTGCGCATTTGCTGATTTGTGCCTTGTGTTGTGTGTTACAACTTTGGAATCCATACAGCCGGTATCCAAGTCTGGCAGGAGCACGTTTAGCTTAGCTTAGCATAATTGAATCAGTTTTTATCATTAGCGTCTTGCTAATTTTCTGTCAGTCTTAGTATGTTTAGTTCCAACCCTGCTGAAAAATCCAGCTTAAACCAGCCTAGGTTGGTTAGTTGGTTTTAGCTGGTCGACCAGGCTGGTTTTAGAGGGGTTTTGGCCATTTCTAGGCTGGTTTCCAGCCTGGTCTTTGTTGGTCGGGCTGGAAAATTACCAGCCAAATCCACCTAAAACCCCCTTGACCAGCTTGGTTTAAGCTGAACATAGCTGGTTTTTGCTGGACTCCCAGCTTGGCTAGGCTGGTCAAGCTGGTTTTAGCTGGTCATCTCCCAGCCTGACCAGCTAAGACCAGGCTGAAAAAAGGCTGGAAACCAGCCTGGAAGTGGCCAAAACCCCTCTAAAACCAGCCTGGTCGACCAGCTAAAACCAGCGTTTCTGTGTGGAGTTTGCATGTTCTCCCTGCACCTCTCTGGGTGCTCCGGTTTCCCCCACAGTCCAAAGACATGCGGTACAGGTGAATTGGGTAGGCTAAATTGTCCGTAGTGAATGAATGTGTGTGTGGATGTTTCCCAGAGATGGGTTGCGGCTGGAAGGGCATCCGCTGCATAAAAACTTGCTGGATAAGTTGGCGGTTCATTCTGCTGTGGCGACCCTGGATTAATAAAGAGACTAAGCCGACAAGAAAATGAATGAATGATAAATGAATGATCTATGCTAAGCTAAGCTAAAAGATGTCTTGATGATGTCTCTGGGGGCCCCCTAAATGTATGGGCCCTTAGAATCGACCTAACTTCACCAGCCGACCACCTGTATTAAATTTGGTAGTTCATTCCGACAAGGTAACCGCATTTATTTTGTCTGGGCCAAAGGAAGACCACCAGTCTGCCTAAAGTGGCCCATATTCGTATGCTATCTGGGTATGGTCCTTGTTGGGGAATCGATGGAGAAGAACCATTGTCAGATTTAATTAAATAAAGTTTACTGAGGATAGTTTGCATTGTCATCAGCAGAAGCAAGCTTCAACACTCGCACATAGTTCATTGGCCTCTCTGCTTACAATCTTAAATCAGCAATAATTATACTCTAACACGCGTCACTAACTGCGTCAGACATGCAGCTGTTTTAATCTGATAGGTATTATAAAACGTGATAGACTTCCATGAATTGTGTTTGTGTGTGCGTACAGGCCTGAAAAATATGTCCAATGATTACTCGGGCATCAAGCATACAAAGGTCAGAAATAACAGGAGAATATTTCTGTGGTCATGATGGTCTGAACGCTTTATGTTTCCGACAATGAAGAGCACAGACACATACATAAAGAATACTTATCTACTTCAAGTCTGTCCTTCTCTCTAGCAGGCATCTTATCAGGATAATAAAACAAAGTTATCAGGCTAATACTGGGACAGCTACTGAGTACTTCACGCAGTAAAATTGACATCTAGTCACAGCTGTTCATGTGGAACCGAATGGCCTCAGTGACCTCTCAGATGGGCCTGGAGATCCCGAGGAAACAAATCATTTTTTCTCACAGAAAAGAGCAGTGACACACATATCATTACAGTTTTACTCTGAAAGGGGATGACACTACCCACATAACAAAATATCTCTGGCCCACTTAATCAGCTTTTGCTTGGCCCACATACCACAGTGAATTACGGTACATGACTGGACCAAGTCTGGCTTCCAGACAAGAGCCAAACATGGATCATATCTGGGCCAAGTCTCAGCCAAGTTAATAACCAATAACTGAGCCTGAGTGGCGAGGCAGTGGCGCAGTAGGTAGTGCTGTCGCCTCACAGCAAGAAGGTCGCTGGTTCGAACCTCGGCTCAGTTGGCGTTTCTGTGTGGAGTTTGCATGTTCTCCCTGCCTTCGCATGGGTTTCCTCCGGGTGCTCCGGTTTCCCCCACAGTCCAAAGACATGTGGTACAGGTGAATTGGGTAGGCTAAATTGTCCGTAGTGTATGAGTGTGTGTGTGAATGTGTCTGTGGATGTTTCCCAGAGATGGGTTGCGGCTGAAAGGGCATCCGCTGCGTAAAAATTTGCTGGATAAGTTGACGGTTCATTCCGCTGTGGCGACCCCGGATTAATAAAGGAACTAAGCCGACAAGAAAATGAATGAATGAACTGAGCCTGAACTGGGCCTGATATGTTGGTGCGTCATGCCCAAATAACAACCGGACTTGGCCCAAATGTGGCCTTATTATGGCACTGCTGGCCTGTTGCCAGCACTGGCATGTATAATGTCAGCCGAATGTTGGCCATGCGTGGCAATGATGGCACTGTATGTATGACGGCAAACTAAATTTGGGCCAGTTGTGAATGGGAGGTGTGTGGCCCAGATCAGTGTAGTTTAGGTAACATCAGGCTGGGTTATGGCTCAGTTTTTGGAGTTTCTGGTTAAAGTATAAACTTATAGCTGAGAATCAGGACCAATAATAAACTTGTTTTGGCCCGGTTCAGGGCCAGTTAAAGGTGATAAATTGGCTGAGATTTAGGCCTGTGATGGCCCATGTGTGGCCCTTGTCTTTAATCCAGTTATGGGCCACTTCAGGACCGCCATACTTAGGCCAAAGGCAAAGTTATTGTGTGGCCCGGAGCTGGGCCAGAAAACATTTGCTCTGTGGGGACTGCAATGAAATTTATGAACTCATGAAGCATTGCACTTTAGGCAGCTATGGGCATGCTTTTTCTCGAAGCGACCTGATTGGTAGAATTTATTTATTTATTTTAAAATGATAATTTATTTTAAATGGGGATCAAGACCAAAAACTTACAGGGCCCACATATCAATTATTACATCTGGGCCAAATACTACATTTTACATCTGGCCCAAGTATTGTGTCCCACCTTAAAGATAAGCTCTGCCAAATCAGGGCCATGTTTGGCCCACATACTGCGCGCCAGTGCCAGCTGAATGCCTGCTGTGCCAGATTTATGTCAAATCTGGGCTAGAATTCTTCGCTACTAGGGTAGTGTATCCTAAAGCCTGGAGTAAAAATGAAATGCTTGACAAAGATCTTATCACAGATAATTTTATGCATCAATTGGTCAAAATTCTGAGAGATTATTATTGGTGTGCACTACTGACAGAACTGACACACTCACACTGAGACCTTTAAAATAATACCCAACATGACTTCATTCATTAATTTGACAGATATACATATCACCTGGGAGACTTGAAATGCAGGAACTCTTCGGTCACCTTTTAATGACCCAGGCCATGTTTTGAGCAGGGTTAAGTGGAGATAACCCAGATAGCATACGAATGTGGGCCACTTTAGGCAGTTATGCTGAAGGTGGTCTTCCTTCGGCCCAGACAAAATGAATGTGAGCCTGAAGTGGCCCTTCTGTACAATGGTAAAGGGGGGGCCAAAGACTCAAATTCATATATGGGCAATTTCAGGCAAAGATTTGGCACTTATGGCAAAATGTAATCTGAATGTGAGCCCAATGTGCCCCATGTGGAAAATTATAATTTTGACCCAAATGATAAGGACAAATGTGGGCCACAGTTGCCAAAAATGTGGCATAGTCATTTAAGGGTGATGTGGGTCTAAACCTAAAGTGGCTCACACGTTTAGGTGCAAATGTAGCCCGGTTATCTTAAGACATATATGGGCGACTTTTGGTGCAGCAAGCTCTGGCTATTGTCTGTGAGCCTAATGTGGCCCAGAGAAAATATGGCAAATGTGGCACAGTTTTTTAAAACATATGTGGGTGAATATTTGGCAGCAATAGAAGTAATAGGCCAGATCTGGGCCAGAATAAAAGCAAACTGTGGCCCAGAATAGGGTCAGTTCTCGTTCATTTGGTTGAATTCTGGCTAATACGCTGTATTGTTTTGGCTTATTTGTGGGAGCGGACCGCCCTAGAGCCATCATTCCATTCAGTATGTGGTCCAGATTTAAGTGTCTGTTGTGGGCCGAAGCTAGGCCGGAATCAAAGCAAACTGTGGCCCAGAATAGGGTTAGTTCTGGTTAATTTGGTTGAAATTTGGCTGATATGTGGTATTGCTAAGGCATAGATATATACACTAGATGTCGCCTGGCCTATTGTTGTCTATTGGACGGAATGCGTCAATAGCGCCGCCATCTTGCTACAGGGTAGCGCTTCTTTGAAATGAATGCGGGACCAAGGTACAGTGGAGGACTGTGGCCATCCAAAGCCAGAGATATACACATATACACATATATCTATGATCGGGAGTTTTCCTGGATGTTAGTATGTATTTTTTTTTTCTAATTATGAAAATTATAATTTTACATCACTTTTCTACATTGATGGATCAGTGACCGCACGGGCATTCCTGACAAAAAGCTTGTGTTTGTGTGTACAGAAATGTAATTTCCACCCTCCCTGTTAAATTTAATCTAATCCGTGTCCTGAAACACACCTCCTCTCCTGCTTTCACTTCTCATACTGACGGAGGGAGCGATTTGTTTGTGAATGAATCATCCGAACGACTCTTTCACTAACGTTAGCCGACAATAATACAAGTTTCTGGCAGTGCAGCATCTCGTTGTCATATTTCTTTTGCATTGTTTGCTGATTTTATTCAACAAAACTAGCATAAGCCGAGTGTTTAGTGCGAGTTGGAGCTGCTTTGCCTTATGGTGAATGCAGTAAGTGACTGTATTATCATCAATAACGTTACCTGATTAGCACAAAAGTTCAAAACATACAAAAACAGAAAAAAACTTAATATTACCTATGAAATGTTCTGCCTTTGTGCTTTGTTTTTGTTGTTTGCTCGTTACTACACCTGTAGACATCACTAAAGTCCTGCATCTTCACGTAATAACACAGTCTTGACTAGTGCGGTTGAATGACATTCGTCCTGGGGGCACTGTACCAATGTGGCGGTGCTATTGACGCATGCTCAGGGTCCCTATGCGATATCTAGTGTAT